ATGGAATGCAGGCTGGAAAGTAGCTCAAGAGCTCTCCCCCATCGCTACTCCTCTCCCCCAAGGCTCTCCCAGCGGGCTGAGCATCAGAAGGTCCCTGCAAGGAAGAGCCTGCATGGAAACTCAGCCAGAGACTGTCAGCATAAACCCTCAGTGAGGTTTTCCAGTCTGCACAGTGACGCACAGCATGCCTGCATGCTGGAGATTGGGACATTCCTCATCCCCAAAGCAGGGGCCAACTTCACAGGCACCAACAACAGCTGACAATATCTCCGTTCTGCCTGGGAGAGAGGAAACTGGCTCTGAAAGGCTAAGCGCTTTCCACACGAAGTAATAGGGCCGCTCCCGCAGCTGGTGCTCACCCCCCAGAGGTCTCACAAGACCCTGCTGTCCTGGGGCATCCATCCTTCTTGGGGTCCAGCTTTCCCTCCTTACCGGAGCCTGGAAGCCTAGCCTTCTCCACCCCTTTCTCCGAGGCCCCGGCCCCCAGCCTGGCTCAGAGGGCACTTCCTCCTTCTAGTCCTTGAGCCTCCAACACGGTGCCTGAGAGCTGGGGCAGGGCTCATCATCCGTGTGCCTGGAAGGTGAGTTGCTAAAGCGCCTGGCAGGGTCTCAAGGGGCCAATGGACTCCCGTGGAAGGCAGCTGGGCTCTGTTCCGGAGCACAGGGTAATCCGGGCGCTAACACATATCTGCACCTCCTGAAAAGGAGCCCACAGGGCCCCACATCCCTGACACTGACCTCCAGGCCCAGTCTGCTCTGATGTCCTTATCCAGAAGCCCCCACATCTGCGGCCAAGAGCTGAGGCCCCCGCTGGGCTCCCCAAGGAACAGCTGTCCTCAGCTGGGCATGCATGTGCAATTCCTTCCAGCCCACCCCATGCCAGTTCCCCACATCTGTGCACATCAGGACCACTTGGCAGAGCTGAAGGGTAGCTGAGAAGCCAGAGGAAGGAGGGCGTGCTTCTTGAGACACAAAGCGAGGAATGTGTTGGGGGAGGGAGGAAACTCCTCACCAAAAATAGCTGCCACCCCTCCATTCCTGGCCTCTGGAATTCTCAGGGTCCTCAGGCGCAGGGGGATGAACTCAGGAGGGGCAACCAGCCTCACTGGGTCAACGGCACGTGGGGTGCGGTGTGGAAGTATGGGAGGAGGAAGGGAGCTGGGATTTGAATAGCAGGATCTAAGAAACTCTGGTCAACAGAAGGGAAAGAGAAGGGAGAGGAGGGGATGAGGAAGGGGGTGTCCAGCTTGTCTCCAGTGTCAGGTGGCAGCTGGGACCAGAGGAGAGGGGACTTCTGCGGGAGTGAGGTGGCTCTGGGGCCTCCTGGTGCCATTTGTGCACTTCTAAACACACTCGCTCTAGCGTTCCCTCCAGGTTCTGTAGCCCCGGAGTTCTCAGCAAGTACCTCAGAGCTGGCCTCGGGCTTCACACCCAGAATCCTCAAATGCGTGAAAGAATGAAGGAAGGAACATGGTACCAACAGATGATACCGACAGGGCTGTAAACGCACGTCCCAGCCCAGTTCTTGGAACCTGGCAGTCCCCATGCACGAACACATTCGTTCGTTCAGGCGCTAATCCTGTAATTACCTGGTGACGAGCACAATTATGCTTCTGTTAAGCTAAAAGCAGTCATTTACTCAGTATAAAATATTAAGAACATAGATACCACTGGTTCTATCACTCTGGTGTAGCATTTTCGCTTTTTGAAGCATAGAGAACCCCAGGGCGGGGGGGGGGGGTTGCGGGGAGAAAGAAGAGAAGGAGAAAGAAGGGCAGGAAGAGGAGGAGGAAGAGAAGGAGAAGGAGGAGGAGGGGGGAGGAGGAGGGGGAGGAGGAGGAGGAGAAAAAGAAGGAGGAGGAGGAGGAGAAGAAGAAGAAGAAGAAGAAGAAGAAGAAGAAGAAGAAGAAGAAGAAGAAGAAGAAGAAGAAGAAGAAGGAGGAGGAGGAGGAGGAGGAGGAGGAGGAGGAGGAGGAGGAGGAGGAAGAAGGAGGAGGAGGAGGAGGAGGAGGAAGAGGAGGAGGAGGGGGGGGGGAAGGAAGCAGCAGCAGCAATCCTGAAGTCTCTCTCTGATGGATCTGTGAGGCCCCACTAGCATCTCCCCTCCACTCCTCAGACTCCCCCAGTGTCTGACCTATGGTCTCTCCTGTTCTGGTCTTCTGCCCCTTCCCACTCCCAGTTGACCTGTCCCTGTGTACCCGAGAAGCAATGTTCACCATGGCCTCCTGTCTGGGGCTCTGATTCTGTTATTGATTTTTTTTATCAGTTTGGGGGACCACACCCAGCCATGCTCAGGGGCTACTCCCAGCTCTGTGCTCAAGGGTTACTCCAGTGGTCCTAGGGGGGTCATGTGGTGCAGGGGGTGGAACCCAGGTCTCCAGCATGCAAAGTCCATGCTCAGCCCCTTGAGTGATCTCCACGTCTTCAGAGCTCTGAATCTGGCCATTAGGCAGACATAGAAGGCCAAGCTGGACCACAGACAGAGTCCCCATACTACCCACCCTCTTTCTAGCGTGAGTCCTGGGGTGGGGGTACCTGTGAGTCCCCAGGCAAGGACAGGCCCAGTCAAGACAGTCTGGATAGATCCTCGGGGTGAGGACAGGGTGGCAAGCTGGCCTGCTGGGATGAGGGATAGAATCAGCGGCACCTGCTGGATCAGGGAATTTCTAAGGGTTCCCTGGGCTGAGACACCCGCGGCACACAATTATCCTAAACACAAATATTTCTCCAAATAATCAGTCCACGAAGCACCCAGGGGAGAATTAATCACTTCCTGTTATGCCTCCCCCAATTGCTTCTCCCCACAGACTCCCCTATAGGGCTCAGGAAACCAGGACTCCTCTTCTCTGGGGGCAGGGGGGTCGCCCATGCTCTCAGACTAAACAGAAGCCCCCTTCACAGCTTCCATTGGAGCTGAATAGGTGTCAGCGGGGGTGTGGAAGCCCCAAGTTCACCATCAAAGAGAGCCTCTTGCCTCCCCTCGTAGGTCAGGCGCTCCCTGGGCCCAGCCGTGCCCCCTTCTTTGGTCTCTCTGACAATTCCACACGATCCCCAGCACCAACCTCACAGGCCGACATGCTCCCAGCCCACTCAGTGTAGAATAAACCTCAGCTGCTATTTTCCAGGTGCTGGGTGGCTGGGAAGAAGGTTCCCAGGGGGAACTGCGTGGGAATGTCACAGTGATGGCACAGGACCCTCATACTCCCCACTATGGCAGTTAATCAGGGTCTGGCAGCTACAACACCCCCCCCCCCAGTGGCTCACTCAAGTTCCAGAGCAGAATCTCGGAGACCAGCATGGGCCCACCACACCAACCCCAACTTCCTCTGCTCCTAACCTGCGTTGCGGCAGGGTAAGAAGAGCAGACAGTGAGGATGGGGGTACTCAGAGCCTTGGGAGCCGGGAGCACCTCCTGTTTCAGGGCACCCCCATGCCCGGTGCCTCCCACTCAGGACGGCTCATTCGCTCCTGCCCCGAACCCATGAGTCAGAGCTGTTGTTCCCTGCGGAGGAAACTGAGGCTCGGCGAAGCATGGCAGCTTACCCCAAGCCACGCATTTCCCATGGCGGCTGGGGTGAGAGCTAGGTGGGTTCCACGGCAGGCCTGGGCGCCCTGCCTCTCCACGGAGAGGAGACTGGATGTCTGGGGGGTGCACTGTCAGAGCATCCTCAAGAAGAGGTGGCCCAGAGAGGGCCGGCAATGGGGCTCACCCAGGAGCGAACCGGCGGCAGAGCCAGGGTCAGACAACAACGCCGGGTGCCTGGCTCCCAGGCAGATGCTTCCAGCCTGAGTCAGCAGCGCCTCCGCTCAGGGCCTGAGGTTCTGAAATTACCTTCGAGAAACAGCCAAGCCAGGAGGCGGAGGGAGGAGAGCTGGGGTCAGGAGCCAGGCAAGTGCGGGAGGGGCGAGGGGGGCCTCTGGGGCACCCCCTGCCCTGCTCTTGCTATTGCAAACAGGGCTGCCGTGAGCACCGGCCAGCCACTCCACGGACTTGTCTGAAACGTGCCCCATTGTGCTTTACTACCCAAAGCCATTGTTTGCTTCTCTGAAACTCAAGCTGAACTGGCTGACCTGTGTTTGTCTTTGCTAAGGGGGCAGCCCAGTGTTTAAAGGGCTGGAGGAAAGGGCAGCTCTGCCAGCCCCCAAACTTGGAGCTTCAGCCCAACCCCAAGCTCCCCGGCATGGCTTAGAGTTGTGGCCTGGGCTCCAAGTGCCCAGATCTCCCTCCCCAGCACCATCTCTGGTGCCCAGGCTATATTGGATGGTAACAGGGGGCCTGTGACCAGGTGTTGTGGGGGGGTCAGATCCCACTTCAGCACAGACCTCCTCTCTGAGGGGACCCTGCCTTCTGCCCCGTCTGATCCACAGCAAAAAGGGAGACAGTCGATGAGACCTCATTCATCCTCTGCTCCAGCCAGATAGGGAAACTGAGACTAGTCCCTCAGCTGGGCAGAAGCAGCAGGGGAAGCTGGTACTTCCACTTCGATATGACGGTCACCACCATCCAGATGGTCCCAAACACAAGTCCCAGGCCTTGTTCCAAATTCTTTCCCATTTTCAACTCATTGAATCACGCCCTCACCACGCCCTCCTGTGCCGATCACACCGATTGGCATCCAGGGATCAGGTTGGCACACACCCACCCCTCCATCCCAGCCAGACGGCGCGCTGGCAAGAAGCCGAGGGGTTGCCCGCTCCTGTCCCTGACGGGGTCAGCAGTTCATCCAGCCGCTCCCCACGAGGTCCAGCATCAGACGGCAGGGCCCAGATTCCGGAGCTGAGCCCCGGGGCTCCGAGTTGAAGCCGGAGGTGAACCTGCTACTCTCGTCTCTCCCTGCCAGCCTCCACAGCCAACCCCACCTGCTCCGCTGTCAAAACAACCTGCCAGCACCTTCCAACAACTTCCCCTGGTGCCCACGGCTGGCCAGCGCCTGTGCTGGGGCCTTGGGGTGAGGGGTCACCAGGACCCCGCAGCCGGGTGAGGGGCCTCGGGGTCTCACCTGTGAACATCCACGTAGGTCTCTACTCCCACCACACACACGGCATAGGTGGGCTTCTTGAGGGACAGCTGCACGGCTCTCTGTGGGGCCATCCTGTGCCCCAGGTCCCGGGCTCCCCACCTCCTCTGCGGGGCGCCTGTCTCCAGGAAGGAGGGTGAAGTCTGAAGAGCCCGTGCTTTCCTCCTCCCTTTTAATTTCACCCTGTGACCTGATTAGCCGGCCGGAGCCAGGTCCCACCTCCTGACTCCACACCCAGCCCTCCTCACTCAGGCAATCCAGACCAGAGGAGGAGGTGTCCTCGGCTTCTCTGGGCACCAGGATGGGGGTTTCAGCTGGAGGGGTGGGTGGTGGTCCTGATTAAAGCAATGTTCAGCTGCCAATAGGAGACTCCCAGGCAGGCCCCCACGCACCCCGCCGCCCCCTTTCTTTGACTTTGCCTCCCCACTCGGACTGTGCCTGAAGCCACGTTGCGGTGATGTCAGCATCTCCTGGGGGCTTACTGTGTGCTGCCTGGGCTCAGCACTTTCCAGATCTTATCTCCGAGGCTGTCTGAGACCGCTGCAGTCTCAGTCTGAGACTCCCCAGCTCACATCCCAGCTCTGCCGCAGGCTCTGCACGTGGAGCCCCAGATTCTTTCCTTGGCACCACATGGTCTCCCCAGCCCTGCAGGGAGCAGCCCCAGGAAGATCCTCTGAGCACTTTCCCACAGATAAGCACATTCTGGCTTCGTCTCTTAGGTCCTTGACAAGCATTGAGCCTCTCTGCGACTCAGTTTCCCCACATGTACTGTGGCACTTGGGACGACCCTTGTTCTTGGTTTGTTGTTGAGGCACCAGGGTTTACAACTGCCACACAGAGAACCCACATCCCTCCACCACTGTCACCTCGGTCCCTTTCTCGTCCCTCTCCCGTCTCCACACGCCCTCGGCCGACTCAGTTTTTCGGGAAGATTGGCAGGGTCTTCGGTTATCAGCCCTTGTTTATTCACTTCCTGTGGCCATCTGCATTCTAGGACTCATGAAAGAAATGCAGTTCCTTCACTCTCCAGGAAAGAAGATCCCATCCTACAGCGAGCACCTAAGCTCCCCTGACTCCTCCAACACTCAGAGATGGTGGGGGCCACCGCAGCTGGGTATCATCACCCACATCATGGGGAGGAAACTTGGAAAAAAAACACTCAGGGAAGAGAACTTAAACAGCTTGAATGTATACTTAGCACACGGGAGGCCTGGGTCTGATTCCCAGACCTCCCCCCATGAACTCCCAAGCACCGCTGGGAGTGATTCCCAAGCCATAGGCTGAGAGAAGCTACTGAGAGTACCCTCAGGGGTAAGCGCCCCTATGCAAAAAAACAAAACCAAAGTCAGAGCGACCGATCGTCAAAGAGGGCTGCTCTGTTTCTGAAAACCCCTCCATTCTGGCCCGCATGGGCTCCCGCCTGTCCTCAGGCTGCTGGCAGAATTCCCTTTATTCCCTTGGCCGACACTGAGGGCATTTTGCGGCTGGCACCCCCTCAGGCCGTGGCAGGAACAGAGCCCAGTCCCTGCAATGATGGCACCAAGTTCTGGGGAGACCAATGACAAGGAGAGCCATAGAAACCGAGTGTGGGGCACAGCCAGGGAGCAGGACTAGCTGGGAGGGCCAGAGGGTTGCAGCTGTGACCAGGAAGGTGAAGGGGAGGACTTTGTTCCGTTCTCCATGGATCTGGAAGGTGAAGGCGAGGACATCATCACCGTCTCAGTACATCTGGATGGTGGAGCCAGAGGTTTGCTGCTGGGTTGCCTGTGGGTGTGAGACAAAGACGTGTCACCGCTGACAGGGGTGACTATGGCCCCGCTGTCATGAGGGAGGGAGAAGGCTCTCAGAGAGGCCTAAGCTGGCCAGAAGGCTTGGGTGCTCCATGTTTGACCCGTTGACCATGAGATGCCTATGAGACCTGAGTGGAGATGATGCAGGACAGGCCGTGTGCTGGTTCATAGTGGGCATTAGGGGTGCTGAGGACGGGAGTGCCCCTAGACACACCTCCTCCTCGTTGTCACAGGGGCTTCTTGTTACAGGGAGTCACTGCAGAGAGGGGACTCAGGACACCCGTCTAGAGCCCCCGTGTTCACAGGCAGGGGTAGGAATGTCACAAAGAGAGACTTGGGAGGGTTGGATAATGGATAGATGATAGATGGATAGAGGACGGATGGATGGATGATGGATGGACCAACAGACACATGGATAGACGGATGGGTAACCATATTGATGGATGGATAAAAAAAATAGAAAAGAGGGAGAAGAGCAATTTGGTGCATAGAAAAAGTAGTTTGCAAAGATGGCTGTGGTGGTGGTGAAATGACAAGGAAATGACAATGACAGTAGCCATGGGATGGTGACAGGAGAGCAGCATGAACCTAGAGAGCCCCCATCACATGCTGGGCACAATTCTAAGGCCCTTGCACGTGCTCACTTATCTGGCCTCACCACAAAGTTGGGTAGCAGATGCTCATTCAGCCACAGTCCCGTGTTCAAACGGACCACAGATGAGTGTGCAGAACAGAGCAGGATGTGGCAGAGCCGGAGCCCCGGGCAGGCCGCGGCATCCTACAAGGCAGATTCTCAGAGCCAGAGGAAGGAGGACGGGAAGAGCAGAGAGGCTGAGGGAGACATCTGCGTGCCCCCCATTTTACAGATGAAGAAACTGTGGCTCAAGAGTTCTGGGGACTGAGAATGAGCCTCAGCAGAAAGGTGCTTGCCTTCAAAGTGTGAGGCCTCGGGTTCCATCCCCAGTACTGCCTACAAAGAGAAGAAGAGGAAGGAGGAGGAGGAGGAGGAGGAGGAGGAGGAGGAGGAGGAGGAGGGAAGAGAAGGAGAAGGAGGAGGAGGAAGAGGAGGAGGAGGAGAAGAGGAGGAGGAGGAGGAAGAGGAGGAGGAGAAGGAGGAGAAGGAAGAAGAAGGAGGAGGAGGAAGAGGAGGAGGTGAAGGAGGAGGAGGAGAATGAAGAGAATGAGAAGAAAGAGGAGGAGGAGGAGAATGAGGAGGAGGAGGAGAAGGAGAAGAAGGTGGAGAAGGAGAAAGAGGAGGAGGAGGAGGAGGAAGAGGAGGAGAAGGAGGAGAAGGAAGAAGAAGGAGGAGGAGGAGGAAGAGGAGGAGGTGAAGGAGGAGGAGGAGGAGGAGGAGAATGAGAAGAAAGAGGAGGAGGGGGAGAATGAGGAGAAGGAGGAGAAGGAGAAGAAGGTGGAGAAGGAGGAAGAGGAGGAGGAGGAGGAGGAAGGGGAAAAAGAAGGGGAGAAGGGTCACAAGGAGGAGGGTAAGGATAAGCTAAGGGTCCTTCTCATAGTTCATAACAGGAAAGCTTGTAATAGTTGACTAGATCCCTGGGAGGTGGAGTGTCATGTCTTTTTGCTTTTTTCTTCCTGTGTTTGTAATTTGCTTGAGCAGTTTTTTTGAGCAGCAATGCTTAGTGTTGGTTACCAAAAAAAAAAAGTAATCTCTCTGAAGAAAAATAAAAGATTAGCTCCCCTCCCCTCTCCCTCCCCCCAGCTTGTTTGCTTCCTGCCTCCTCCCTCTCTCCTCCAGCTCTAAGAGCATTTGCTAAGATACCATGACCTGCTGGGGGCCCTGCCCTGCCCACAACCACAGGAGGTACACCCTGCACACCTGCACATCCATTCTGTGGTCTATTTGAACTGGAGATCTCGGGCCTGATCGGTGAGAAGTGGGAGGAGCAGGGGTGGGGAGCGGGTGAGATCATTGCCCCCTGTCCCCTCTGCTGGGTGGGGTGTTTGCCTGTGAAAGCCTGACCCGGGCAGGAGGAGTGGTCCACCTGCATTGGTGGCCACTGACCCTGATGTCCTAGCACCATCCATGGGTCCCAGTGGCCTAGGGACTCTGGCAGGGAAGGTGTCTGTGTTAGACCTCAGTTTACCCCGTTCTTCAATAATGTTTTAGAGCATTGAGGCCAGAGTGATAATACGGTGCATAGGGCACTTGCCTTGCATGTGACCACCTGAGTTCGACGGTCACCACCCCATGTGGTCCCCCAGGAGTAATTTCTGAGTGCAGAGTCTGGAGAAACCCTGAGCATCACCAGGCATGCTCCTCCATGCTCCAAAAGAAATAATAAAAGCAAAACATAAATATGTTTTAGAGCATCTCCCATGTTCCAGGCATTTTCCTTTTGACGAGGGGGATGTCACAGGGAACAGAGAGGCAAGACCCTGCCCTCACACTGCATATCGGCCTGAGACACAGGTGAGGGAGGGGCGGGAGGGACACGGATGGGAGCAAGAGAGGAGGACAAACCGAGTGGGGTGGGGGAGAGCAGAGGGCTGTTGTTTGGAACAGGTTGTGGAGGGAAATCCGGTCGTGAGGCACAGGAGCAGAGGGCTACTAACTAACCAGGCCTCGGGTTCTTTGAACCTCGGCTCCAAGAGAGCAGTTGGGACAGAGAAGGGACTGCTGTGACAATGAGGGTGGAAATGATCACTCTGGACAACGCCTGAGTGCTGAAAGGAGGTAAACGGATACGCATGATGCCCTTTCAGTTACCGTACTGCTAACCACAGTGCCTAAAAGGAAAAAGAGAGGAGAGAGACAGAGACAGAGAGAGACAGAGAGAGACAGAGAGAGAGGGAGAGAGAGAAAGAGAGAAAAGTGTCTGCCATAGAGGAAGGCTGGGAGTGGAGGGCGGACGTTGGTGGCAGGAAAGGTGCACTGGTCAACGGATGAATGTCAGAACATTGTATGTCTGAAACTTTAATCACAAACAATTTTGTTGCTGTGTATCTTCTCCAGGCGATTTAATTAAAAAGGGGAGGGAAGCTATTGAATTAGATCAGTTCCCAACTCTGAAGCCTACAGGGGTCAGGCAGAAACTATAAATGAGCAGAGCTGCTGGGTACACGGCAACGGGGAGCAGAGGCAACTGTGGCAAAGGAGATAGAGCTTACTTGGTAAACGTGTTAAATAAACATTTCTTGGGGCTGTAGAGAAAGGACGGGGGTTAAGGCGCTTATTTTGCACGCAGCTATCCCAATTCAATCCCCAGAGTTACACAGTCCTTTGAGCATCACCAGGCACAGCTCTGGAGGTGTCCTGAGCTCCAGCATGGTGGCCCAGG